GCAGCACCCTCCCAGCCCTGCTCGCAGCGGCAGCCGCACGTCTCCTGGGAGAAGGTCCCGTGGCCGCTGCACTGGCGGCCCTGACCTGCCAGGGAGAGGAAAGGCGGGGTGAGGGCTGGAGCGTGAGGGCCTCCTTCCCTGGCGACCCCGAAGAGCGGACCTGCAGGGCTCTTTCTCTGAGGACGGTAGGGGTCCGACCCCTCCAACCTGGGCCAGACTGGGACCTGTGAAAGCTGCAGACGTTTCCTCTCCTCTGCAAAGGAACCAGCCTCCCCTTCCCCGCCCCACTCCAGTGCTCACGTGAATCCCCGGTTCCCTCCCCTCTAAATGGCGGTCAGCCTTTAGTTCTCTCCTTGAGGGGCCCTGGATCCAGCCAGCGCGGGAGCTTGGCTTATCTTGGCTGCAGGCGGCTGGACCAGCAAGGCCAGGCCCTTGGCAAGTGAGCCCACACTGAAGCCCGGAAAAGTGGACCTGCAGAAGCTACCCAACAGCCCAGAAGGCACGGGGTGAGGGTGGGGGGAGGGATTAGCCAGGATCCCCTCTCTGACCCTAGACAGCAAGGGGCAGTCAGAGGGTGGGCCAGTCAGCCCCGCACCTTTCTCAGAACACCTGCTTTCCTTCCTAAAAACACTTCCACCATGGAGACTCCCCAGGGGCAATTCCTGGCAGCCTCCAGGTGTCTAGTTCTGTGTCCAGCGTATAAGGGTGCTCTTAACCAGAGCAATTTCTTCAGGCAATAGAAATGCATGGGGAGGGCCACTTGTTATTATTTGGATCAGCCTGGGAGGTTAAATAAAAAAATGAAGGGATTGAGAAGTACAGATTGGTGATTATAAAATAGGCATGGGAGCATAAAGTACAGCATAGGAAATATAGTAAGTAATCTATATACATAAAAGCCTAAGCAACTGGTGGAGGGCCAACCATCCAGTAGCTATGACATGCAATGACCACCAGGGGGCAGACGCTCAATGCACAGACATGGAAACATGGAACAGACTGATGAATCTCAGAGGAAAAGGGGGAGGGGGGGGGGCGGGAAGAGATTAACCAAAGATCTTATATGCATACTAGAGGCCTGGTGCACAGATTCGTACACCGGTGGGGTCCCTCGCCTGGCCTGCGGGGATCAGGCCGAAACTAGCTCTCTGACATCCCCCGAGGGGTCCCAGATTGCGAGAGGGTGCAGGCCAGGCCAAGGAACCCCACCAGTGCACGAATCCATGCACTGGGCCTCTAGTATTGCAATAACTATGCATGGTGCCCATGGGGTACTGGAGATATGGAAGGTGGGGGGAACACCTTAGTATATGATTGTCTGACCACTATTCTGTACACCTGAAACTAATGCAGAATATATTGAATGTAAACTATAATTTGAAACAATTTTTTTTTCTTTCTTCTTTTGCAGGAAGCCCAGATATATTCAGAGGGACAGCAACCCAGCTACCCCATCCCCTTCAGCCTCCTGAAGGGAATGCTCTGACTTCCTCCACCCAGCCCACTTCGGCCTGTCTTAACCGAGTGCCGAGTTCTAGTTAGATTATGTCTTGCTTAACTCCAGCCCTTTCCTTCCCCACCTCTCTAACCAGACCACCAGCAAACTTGCTGAGGGAGGGTAAAAGAATGGCCAACCTTCCCTGAAGCAGTCATGCCTGGGAAGGGGAGATTTTAATGACATGTGTAGTGGGCTACTTGCTAGAATTTTTTAAAAAACAATTGGCTGACTCTCTACTATGGGCCAGGAATCTCAAATACATCATCTGTAGTTCTCAGACTAGTTGATGGAATTATCCTCACTGGACAGTTCAGGAAACGTAGGAATCTGCCCAAAGGTCATAGAGCTAAGAAGTGGCAGACCTGGGTTTGCCCCAGCCCTACTAGCTCTGTCCTCTCAACTCCACTGCATTCCCTATAGAAGGGATTGGCCCACTGGCAAAACAGCACCCAGGAGCCTTCTCACCTGGAAGCCTGAACCAGGAGTTCCGACTCACTTACGTCCCTTCCTGCTCCGCTTGCAGATGCCCCTGGAGCTAGTGCCAGCGATGAGGTCCCCCGGGGAAACCCAGATTGAGGAGTGGGAATGCACCAGACTCAAGAGTGCTCATGGGGCTGGTGGAAAGCCTGGCACCCAGAAGGTGCTCACTAAGTGTTTGTTGAATGAGTACCAAAAGGTGAGCTCACCAGCAGCTCCCTGGCAGCAACGCTGGACGTCACACCGCTCCTTCACCTCCGCCATCTCGCCCTCCAGCTTCTGCACCCGGACCAGGAGGTCCTGGACAAGGCCTGCCAGCTCGCAGTCCTTCTGTGGTGTCTGCAGGCGGATGTTGTGTCTGAAGATGATATTCTGTTCCTCGGCCTCTCCCAGGGCCAGGAGCGAGGCCCCTTCATCACTGAGGGGCTGAGGGTCAGCCTCCACCTGGACCAGGGCAGACTTGGGCACATCAATCTTGTAGGTGTGGCTGACGGTCAGCTGTTGCTCCTTGTCACTGCAGCTATGAGGCTCGAGAGGGGCCGGGGCCGAGGCCACCAGCAGCACAGAGCCAAACAGGAGTCCCAGGGGGAAGCAGAAGGTCCCCATCCTTGGAGAGATGAGGCGCAGACCCTCCAGCAGGCCTGTATGCAGAGAAAAGGAAGACAGCCATGGAGATTTGCTGATGAAAACTGGCCTTTTTAAATGGATCCTGAGAGTCCACAGGCAGCTGAGAAACCAGCAGATTTTGTCCTGCATCTGCTGAGGTTCTGAACTATATTACCTTTTGCAGAGAAAAGGAAGACAGCCATGGAGATTTGCTGATGAAAACTGGCCTTTTTAAATGGATCCTGAGAGTCCACAGGCAGCTGAGAAACCAGCAGAAAGATTTTGTCCTGCATCTGCTGAGGTTCTGAACTACATTACCTTCTGTTCCGTCCTCACACGCTGCACATTCCTGCCTCCTGTCTTTGTTTCCCTTGCACTGTTCCCACTACTGGGAGGCCTTTCTCTGTGCTTCTAATTCTGTACTCACCTGCATTTTAATAATGACAAGGAGAAGAACTGTCTTGTGTTGAGGGCCTCCTGTGTGCCAGGCTTTGATCCCCTAATCCCTAATCTTTACAACAACCCTAATGTCCTCCCCATGGATGATGCCAATCTCATGGTGGCCAGAGAGCACGTGCTGTGTGCCAGGCACCATTCTAAGTGTTCCACACTTATTACTTCATCTTCACAACAACCCTTTGTGAAATTTACTATTATCACCCCCATTTTACAGATAAGGAAACAGAGGCACAGTTAGCTACCTTACATGATTTGCCCACAGGCACACAGCCAAGTGGCAGAGTGTGAAGCCAGGCAGTCTGGCTCGAGTCCATGCTTGTCAGCGCTCTGTCCTGCGCAGAGGAGGAAGCGTAGGCTGGAGGGATGGAGCACACTGTCCTGGGTACCATGGCCAGCGAGGGCCACGCCTGTGCTCAGATTCCAGGCCAGTGTCCTGTTCACCACCTCTGCCTACAAACCAGGAAAAGTTCACAATTTCCACTAAAAATACCTTCTCCCTGAAGTCTTCCACATCCCAGCTGGAATGAGCCCTCCTTCTGCTAAACATTCAGAGAAATGCTACTGTCCCTCTGTGGGTCCCTTGATGGGTTACCCTGTGCATAGTTCCTCTTGCCGCATCCTGTCTGCCCATGACATTGTGAGGCTCTTAAGAACGAGACCCAAGGTTGATTCCTCTAGGGCCGTGGTCAGCAAACTGCGGCTCGCGAGCCACATGCGGCTCTTTGGCCCCTTGAGTGTGGCTCTTCCACAAAATACCGACTTCTGCACATGGGCCACGAAGTTTCAATCACACTGTATGTGTGTGCCCGCACATGGTATTTTGTGGAAGAGCAGAAGTCGGTATTTTGTGGAAGAGCCACACTCAAGGGGCCAAAGAGCCGCATGTGGCTTGCGAGCCGCAGTTTGCCGAGCCGCAGTTTGCCAACCACTGCTCTAGGGGCCCCTCCCAAGGCATGGGCACAGAGGGGTTCAATCCCCCTCAAATCCATCAGTGCCACAGGGGCAGAGCAATCATTGGCTATGATGGGAAGAGACCTACACCCCAAAGTTTGGGGGGAACAAGGACAGGTAAATCCTGCTACAGAAAGAAGGCAACTGGAGCCAGAGCTGAGTGCAGCCCACAGCTCAGCCAGCGTGTGCTGCCCCCGTGGGCAAACCACAGGAGGAGGTGCCCAGCAGGCAGGGCAGAAACCACAGGAGGTTCCTGCAGGAGCGGCAGGTGGAGCCAGCATGGGCGCAGCTGTCATAACAAGGGCATCTGCTGACCACAGGGAACCACACCAGCCCAGCCGCACACAAACCCCTTCTCCCTTCTCTTCTGCCCCCACCTCCCTGCCTCTGTCAGCCACCTGGGGGATCCAGCAGCAGCTACAGGTATGGGAAGGGGAGGAAGGAAAGCCCAGGACAACCTCTGTCTCTGCTCCCCTCCCGCTCACCTCCAATGCCAGCATCAGGCCTGAGTTGGGTGAAAAGAAAGATGTGGCCTGGATGGATGCTGAGGCTCTGATATTGGGATGGACCTGCCTTTCCAAAGGCTTCTCTTCCAATACCTAAAGGCACCAGAAAAGCCCTGGAATCCCTGGAGATTTTTGTCGGAGGTTGGGGGAGGGGAGGAGAGCCAGCAGAGTGGGCTGCTGGGCGGGTGCAGGATGAACATAATGCTATTTCACAACTGCTGTCTTCACCAGCTCAGCCGGTGGCATGGAGCAGCCCTGCACACCTCCACCTCCTCCCGAGACAGGCGGAGCTCAGAGGCATGAAGCAGTGCACCTGATCATGCAAGGTCAGTGCCAGGCCGCAGACGCGGACCCAGGAGCACAGGGTCCCCTCACCAAGCCGTTAACCTCTGTGCGCGTCTGCCATCCCCAAAACCACAGGTTGATCTCAGAGAGCCTTCTTGGTCCCGGGCAGCAACAGAGTAAAACGCAATCTCAGCTTCTCTGCCCACTCCTCCATCCAGGCCCAAGGCCCAGCCGGGCTCACAGTTCTCTGGGCCACAAACGGCCTGCGGATGGCTTTCTGAAGCCGCTCCCAGCACATGCACAGAGCCACCGACTCCTGCCATAACCGCAACACTGGGCAAAGCCCAGGCTCAGAGTTTGTTTTTTGAAGCCGGGAATATGAGAAGCCCCAGACGCCCTGCAGGAGCTCTGGGTGTCCCCATCCTGAGTTGTAACAAGATGTCCTCGATAATTACAGCCTTGTCGGTTCCACGCTTGAGCTCAGATTTTCCTGGGCAGAGTCATTGCTCGAAAGAAGCTGGGGCAGGCGGGGGAATCCTCGGCCCAGCAGTCCTCCCCAGGGCCAGGAGCATGAGGAGCCTCCTGGCTCTCCCTCCCTCCCACGTGGCAGGAGACCCGGCCTGTGTCACAGCTTAAGGAAGGGATGAGCTCACCAACTCTTGCAGGCACAACCGACCACAGAGAGCCCACGAGGGTGGGACGGGGCGGGCAGGGCTGCACATCTCATCAAGACACATGCAGGGTAGTGAGGTTCCGAATGGGATGATTCCTCTATTGACGAAGTTTCTTACAGAAAGTGGGGTGAATGCTGCGGAAATGTATGAGGCAAAGGGGGTTCACATGCAGGGGATGTGCATGCAGGAGACCGCAGGACATCAGGTGTCCCCAGGAATCATTCCCACCTCTGATCACGTCCTACGTTCTGCTGGCAGGCAGGGTGGTGGGTGATGGGGACAGGTGGGGGGCAGAGGCAGGCTAAGACTCAGGGTGAATGCTGCCCGAAGTGGCTTTTACCAGAAAGGCTCCTGGAGGCGTGTGCTGCGGGCGGTGAGCTGGACAGATGATCCCCTGGTTGTCTGGGAGGCACACTGACGTCACAGGGCTCTATGCCTGGGCTCTATTTATTCTTCCTTGGTGGCCACATCTACCCTGTGGCTTTAATTTCTAGCCAAACACTGATGGCTCCCGAATCTGCATGTGCGTTCCTGGGCCAGACGTTCCTGTAAGCTCAGGGATGGCAGTGCCAGGACTGTGGGTCCCCCTGAATCCCCAGCCTCACAGCACGGTCCTGGCCTACATGATCTGTGTATTAAATTATAATAGCCACGAGGTTTTCTGCACATTTGTCAGATGATGGGAACTGTGCCAAATACTTTATGAACACTATTCTCATTTAATCTGCAGAATCCCAGGCGTCCAGTCTTTGTTATAGATGCTCTGAGAGGTTAAGTGACCTGCCCAAGGTCACACAGCTAATAAGCAGCAGAGCTGGGGTAAAATACCAGGGCTGTCCATTCCTCACGTCTGTGTCTCCCTCCCTCTGCTGTGTGTCCTGCCCCAAATGAGGAAGTCCAGTGAGAAGATTGCCACGTGTTAAAAAAAGACCCAAATGTCCTCTTTCCCATGGTACTTAAGAGAGGGCTCTTCTGAAAATAAAGGAAACCGAGGCAGGGCAGGTGCTCGTTACAGGTTAAATTCCTCGCTTCACTCCCTCTGGGCAGTGCAAGCAGGACCCTGGGAGGATAAACCGGTGTTTCTCCCGGGAGGTGGAATCCAGTTGCGCCTCGTGAGAGGCTGGGCATCCCCTTCCTGGGAAACTGTGTGGACCAGGCCCCTGTGCAGGGGCAGACGTCCCCCAGCCTTGGCCAGAGCGGGATGGACCCTGAGTCCCACACGGCCCTCTCAGTCACAGGCTCATGGCCTCCGTCCGTGTCACCTCATTTTCCCCAAAGAAGGGCATACACCTGGTCAGGACGAAATACACTACTTGCACCACAGAGAGCGGCAGCCCGTTTCTCAGCCGCCGTTACAGACCTTTCCGCTTAAACCCCGGCTTTCTCTGGCTCCCTCATTACCTCATCCTGTCTAGTTAACCACAAGCACGCTAGAGCACTGCCTGGGGTTTTAGGAAAACTGATGATCGTGGGTTTCCAGTGAAGTCATTAAAAAGGTGCTCTGTCCCCAAATGACAGGGTGGCCGTCCCTGATATGGAGGCGTGCGAGCGCTCCTGCCAGGCTGCGCCGCTCCTGCTGGGCGTACTCTGGGCCGACCCAGGACAGATAGGAGCATTTCTGTTTCTAGTCTCGGTGCCTCTGACTGCACAGGCGTGCTGCACAGGACGCAGGCAGCCAGGTGTGCGTGAGAGTACAAATGTGGTCTCATGTGATAAGGCTTCAGATGGTCACGCTCCAGCAACATGCTGTCCCCTCACTCTTCTGGTTGGTTCAGTGGAATATACCCAGTGAGCACCCCAAATATCCTTGCAGATGACTCACACCCCACCGTGCCGTACCCCTTTTCCTGGCCTCAGCACTCAGTCCCTTTTCCAGGGGTGGCCACAGGCTGGTGTGATTGTTTTGTGTTGTCAACCGAACCTTAATCCGAGTTGCAAAGGCTCAACCAGGTGATGGGAACGGTGGCACCGTTTCCTAAGCACCTACTGTGCGCAGGCCTCTGCGCCAAGTGCCGAAGGTCTTCCTGAGCACCAGGCGAAGATGCCCACACCCCACAGGAAGGAGCCCCTTTTTCACAAAAGACCATCCTTTCACCTTCTTGGAATGTATGGGTTCAAGCACAAAGACAAGACCACATGGACACAAGGGCATGAATTCAGGGACCTGGAGCCAGCCAAAGCACACGCCCGGTCTCCTATGCATTAGAACGACTATGCATTAGAACGACTATGCATTAGAACGACTATGCATTAGAATGACTTTGTATGACCTGAGACCCAGCCAGCCTCTTCCCGTGGCAGGCACCTGATGACGAACTGCTCCCACTGAAGGACAAGAACAGAGGACCAGGCAGAGAAGCTGCGATTCCTTCCCGTAGTTCAACGTTGCTTTTCCACACACAGAAGTAACGTTCAAGACCCAGCCTCTTCAAAGGAGACAGGCTTTTCCTGCTCAAGGGTCTGCCCTGCCCCAACCACACTCTCCAGGTCTGTCTTCAAGACCAACAGCCATACTGAGAGGTGGTTGGGGCTCTGGCAGTGAGTCTCCTGTGGTGGGTGCCAGCAAAGCCCCTGTCCATCGGGCATCAGCCCGAGACCTCAGCATCACCAGCTCGCAGACTGGTGGCTCCAGACGCTGCTGTAAAACCGAAACCACGATCGCATGTCTGGATCCAGACCCACAGGAGCCAAGGCTCCGAATGAGCCTTGGACGGACAAGAGTTTCCACTGGGTCTGGGCACAGTTTCCTCAGGCGTCTTCTCAGGAACAGACCTCAGTCTACCCTGCATTTCAAACCACAGAACCAGCTGGACAGACACCAGAAGCCAGGGATGATCTGAGTCGCCTGTCCTGTTTCCCTCCTGCAGGAGGCAGCTGCAGCCACAAACTTGGGGACACAGCAGGAATTGAAATTGTATGGAACAGCAATTTTCAACCGGCATGCCACAATGTTTAAAACATGCAATACCTGACTATTTAGTCAGGGGCACTGACCTCTTTTCCCTTAAATTGTCAAACCAAAAAGTGACAACAGCCAATACAACCATAGCTGTCCAGTGTGAATGAATCAAAATTACAGCTATTTTTTGTCAGATCGGCAAAAAGAGATAACATTTTTTGGTGTGTTTTTAGTAATTAGTTTATGTGCCATGAGATGAAAAAGGCTGACCATCGCTGGAATCAAACAATATCAAGTATTTTCTCGGCCTCTCTGGGCTGATGTTGCTACTCTCTATTCCTTTCTGAGTCCCTCTTCCAAACACCCTGAGTCCAACAAATGCCCAAGTGGCAAAAAACACGATTCTTTCCACACATATCTGTGCTCTGCCAGCCACCCATCGGTGTGTCACCTGATGCCTGGTGATGCTCTGGCTTCTGCATGAGCCAGTGGACCCCGGGCACTGTGGCTAACCTCTGTCCAGATGTAGGTAGTTTGCTATTTTTATGTTAGGACTTGTTCTTTTTTTAATGCTTATATAAGCATCTTGGGTTTTTGCTTTGAAGTGACTGCTCTCACTCATTCTTTCTCTCTCCTTCCCCCACCTCTCTCCCAACCGCAAAAATAAACAGGTAAGTAAAAAGACCTCCAATAAACAAGTCCACATCATGTCTTGAAAGGTTTCGAAATGTCTTCTTTGAGGCATTGTGAGGGAATAGCATGAGAATTTGGGGAAAAGAGGCTGTCATCATACAAACAGAATCAAAATCTACAAAGTTAAATGTTTGAATAAACTTCAAAGCTCATCAAGCTCCCTTGCAAACCTCATCGTAATTGGTATTTACAGCAGCCAGAGACGGGGACGCCATCACAGTTTCCTGATCACAACCAGAACAAAGGTTCTATTTGGGGACTTTTTAAAAAAGTGAGACATGGGTGGAGGGATTGAGAAAAATAAAAAGAAAGAAAGAAAAAGAGGAAGAACTCACTGACACGGACAACAGTGTGGTGATTGTGGGGGCGGGGGCGGGTGGAGGTGGAGGAGAGTACAGGGGAGTTCAATGGTGATAGAAAAAAAAGCTGTCACAAGTTCTATAAAAAAATAAAATAAGTGTGAGCACCTTTAACAAACCAAAAAAAAAGTTAAAAAAACAAAAAGTGAGCCATAAATACTAGACTTACCGGGGGATCACTTTGTAGGATATATAAATGTCTAATCACTATGTTGTACACCTGAAACTAACATAATATTGTATGCAACTATAATTTTAAAATTTTAAAATATATATACATTTAAAAACAGTGACACAGATAAATTAAAAAAAAAAAAGTAGCCTTTGACATTGGGAAGAAGCCAGCAAAGAAATAAAGATGCTAGACTTACATACAGGAAACATTTTCTACAACCTTCTGTTGTTCTTGGTGCTGTGGTGCCTGAGGCTCAGGCTTGTTCCCACCTGGCCACCTTCCCAGCCACACAGGAAACCTTCGGAGACCAATGCTCTTACCTGGGAAGCTGCTGGGCACCATGTCCAACTCTCCTGCCACCCAGACCTCAGTGCTGGTCGTCCCTGGTTCCTCGCTTGCTCCTCGGCTTCCCTCCTTGGGTTTAAACACTGGTCAGGACAGGGGAGGAGCTGGCAAGGGTCCTCCTGGGTGTTCCCTCTCACTGGCAGGAGCTCAGTGAAGCGCAGCTCGTTCTAACAAAGGGGTGGAAATGCTTACCCAGACACTAAAAATACTGTTTCCAGTTAAGCAAAAAAGTATATATGTAAGTGTGTGGTATATATATATATCACATAGACACAGACAACAGTGTGGTGACAGCCAGGGAGAAAGAGGGGGGAAGTGGAGGTGGGCAAAGCGGAGGGATGAGGACGGAAGGAGACTTTGCTTGGGGTGATGTGCACGATGCAGGGTGCAGATGATGTTTTGTTGAGTTGTACACTAGAAACCTGTATGGTTTTGCCAACCAATGTCACCCCGACAAATTCAATAAAAAATAATAAATTGCTCCAGAATACAGTCATTAAATGAAGAGTCTGCATGCCTCCTGGCTGGGAGTGGGCCTCAGGGTTTGGAAGCCGTCTCTAAAGTTCCATCCATCAGTTCACAGCTATGAGTGGCAGGGCTCTGAGGACAAGAGAGCAAGTGCAGACCCAGCGCCTTCAATTCCTCAGCCCCCCAGATCCCCGCCATCACCAGGAAAGCAGGGCACCCCTTACACCACCCTTCCTCTTTTGCCATCAGATGGACAGACCTTTATCTTCCTGTGAAGCAGAGCTGCTCTCTACCCCCAACCCCACCCTGAGGGCAGATCTGCAACATCATGGAAGGAGCCTGTGAGGTCTCAGTTCACTTATGTGGACACTGAGTGTTGATGGAGGGAAAGGAAGAGGACAGGAGAGGTGGGGGGCGATCAAGGAGTTGCTCCAGCATCTGTGTGAGGGTGCGTCCAGAGCCAGACTGCTGTACCTGAAGCCTGTGTCTGCTACTTGCAAATGACCATTGACGTAACCTCTTTGTGCCTCAGTTTACTCATCTTTAAAGACCAATAACACAGTTATGGTGAGGATAAATGAGTTGATACATGTAAAGAATTTTGACTAGTCCCAGGGACACAATGAGGAGTCAATAAATGCTAGCTGCTGCGATTGTTGTCACTATTATTATTACCATTTGTTACTCTTGCATACCCTACAGTCGTCTTTGATGATCTGCACCCCCGTCTGGATGGGTTCACAGTTCTCTGCCCTTCCTTTCTTACGACCTCAAATAGTCCTGCCATCTGCCCCAGAATCAGGCCAGCTACACACAGAGGGGACACTGTGGTGTGAAACAGGGCTCACCAGAATGTCCCCCAGGCCCCAGACATTTCTATTCTCCTTTGGACCTTTCTTCTCTGCTTCTTGAATAGAAAAGTTTCCCCTGGAGGCTCCTCGAACCCCACTGTCCCCTCAAGTTGCTCCACTCTTCTTCATTTCCTCTATATCTCCCCGAGTTAGTGGACTTCCCAAACTCTCCCCATTATCCACCTTCCGTGCCCTAACTAGTACATAACTAAACCAACACAATGGGCTCGTCAGAGGCCATCTTCCTTCAGCCTGAATTAGGTAGGGCCAGCCCACGCCACGCTCACAAAGACCCTCCCCATGCAGTAGCTCAACAAGATAGAGGTGCTCTCACATTACAGCAGAAGAAGGCTGTCCAGGCGCGAGGGCGGTGCCACCATTCACGGTCCCCAGTCCATAGGGCCATCTCTCAGCCAGTGAGAGGCACAAAGGATGCCCATTCCTTAAAAACACAGAAACAAAACTTTTTTTTATTTTACAATCATTCCAGAGTTGCAGAGAAACCACATAAATATTACAAAGAATCCACATGTAACCTTGGCCCACATTCTCCAAATGTTACCAAAGGTGCAGTATCATTCATTTCTCTTTCTATTTTTTTCCAAAACGTGCGAGAGTAACTTAGAGACAGGTTAACCTCTAAATCACTTCAGTGTGTAATATTTCCCCCGAACAAGGACACACCCTTACATAACCTTGATACAGCGATCAAAATGAGGACATTCTACAAAATAACTGACCTTCACCCTTAAAACATGTCTAAAGAAATTGACAGCCCCCAAACCTGGTGACCAACCAGGTGACAGAGACCATGGCCACCATCTCCTGGTCACGCTGCGCTACACCTCCCCTGATGGAGACACCAGGGAGGTCCAGTGGGGAAGGAGCAGAGCAGCACCGTCCTGATGGATCTGAGGCCGGGCGTGGAGTACACGGTCCACGTGTGGGCCAAGAAGGGGGACCGGGAGAGCCAGAAGGCCGCCACCAAGGCCCTGACAGGTAATGGAGCGCTGTTCTTCAGCCTCATATTTTGTTCTTGTAAAGATAAATGGTGATCGGTCCCATCCACCCACTGAGCTGGGGCCACCAGTGGCCTGGCAGCATCTGCTCTCACCCTCTTGGAATACAAGTAAGTGCCTTCCGGAGGATGGGACAGCACAAGGGGAAAGAGGCCTGGCCGTGCTCGCTGAAGCCCCAGACACATGAATGAGCCAAGCCAGTTCGATGTGAGCCATCCCAGCCCAGTCTAGCCCAAACTGCCAACACACAGAATTAGAAACAAATAAATAATTGTTTATAGTCACTGTATTTTGGAGAGGTTTACTATGCAACAATGGAAAAGTGATACAGAGCCTATATCCAAAGTAGGGGAATAATTTAACTTGAAACTAATTTCAATCCATTATTTCGTCAAAATAGTGTAACCCATTCCAGAACAACCTGGAAAAAATCCACAAAGTTGCTGGTTCAAATGATGGTTCAAGCAACGTGTTATTATAGCATCTTCTTTTATTTGAGAAAAAAGTATTCCAACGGCAGTCATCTCAGATTTTATTTGTCCTATGAAATCATCCAAAACCCAACAGACCAATGTGCTGGCTCTGAGGGAATCCGAATCCGGCAACGTGTTATTATAGCATCTTCTTTTATTTGAGAAAAATGTAGAAAAAAGTATTCCAACTGCAGTCATCTCTGATTTTATTTGTCCTATGAAATCACCCAAAACCCAACAGACCAATGTGCTGGTTCTGAGGGAATCCGAATCCAAATCCGCTGTGTCTGGCTTGGAGACCTGGACCTGGTCTGAGCTGGCTTGGGCCTGTTTGAGCTGGTTGGAGGATATGTCTCAGTATCTTTAATTAGGATTCTGCTGAGTTTAAAGAAATTGGAACCAAACTTAAACAGACCTCCACTCTCAAGATCTTGTCCCAGCTCACTCACTCACTTACTTACTCTGTCATAAATAATATATATTCCGTACCCACAGGATCACCTTCCCCTTGTGGTAGATTCTGAAGTCAAACCTCTAACCGTGCTTAGAGGATGTGCCATCTTCGCCTTTAAATGTGCGTGTACCTGCAAACATAGACCACAGAGCATGGCCTGCAGCAAAGAGGGGTGTTTATGACTCCCTTCGAGGCAATGAAAGACCTTGATTCTTCTTCCGTCAATATTTTCTTCTCTTGGGTCAATACTTTTTGATATCCATCTCAGTATTAGTCAATATCTCCTTATTAATATTTTCTGACAATAACAGTTGCTGTGAGCCTGAAGTGTGTGGGAGCAGAGGGCTGGATGTACAACCAGGGGCCTGGAACCTTGGAGGGGATGGCAGTTTGGTTTTTAGGAGATTCTTTATGCATCACTTGCCCAAAGATGGCTGTTTTGTAGCTATCATTCATTATTATTTTTATTATGAAAGTAACATTACTGTAGACTAACTAAAATATACAGCAAAATATAAAGAAGAAAATTAACTTTTCCTGTAATTCCTACAACCAGAGGTAACCCTTAATTTTTCTACAAATGTACACATATATGGAAAGATGTATATATCTGTGCACATGTATTTAAAAAGTTAAACAATTAAGATTCTATTACATAGAAATTTTTTTTCTGTGCTTTGTTCTAAACTTACATAGTATTTCCCCCCTCATGTATATAATAAAAGCCTAAGCAACCGTTATGGCACAATGACCAGAACGACTAGTCACTATGATGTGCACTGACCCTCAGGGGGCAGACGCTCGATGCAGGAGCTGCCTCCTGGTGGTCAGTGCGCTCCCACAGGGGGAGGGCTGCTTGATCAGAAGCTGGGCTGATGGCTGGCAAAAGCAACGGCAGTGCTAAGGAGCAGCAAGCTGAGTGGTAAGGAGCAGCGAGCAGACGGGCGATAAGGAACGAGGGGTCCCGGACTGTGAGAGGGTACAGGCCAGGCTGAGGGACCCTCCACCCCCCAGTGCATAAATTCCGTGCACCAGGCTTCTAGTTTTCTTATATGTGTCTTTAAAGGCATGTGTTTTAATGTTGCATAGTATCCTAATATGTGCATCTAATTCATGGGGGGTCGGATGGATTGCAAAGGAACTTGGAGGCATTTGGGGGAGTAATGGAAATAAAAGTTCTAGTCTGGCTTGACTATGGTGGGGCTGCCATAGGACTATACACATTTCTCAAAATTCATTGAGCTGAATACATAAAAAGGGTAAATTTTATTGTATATAAATGATATCTCATAAACCTGACTTAAAAGATGTCGTTGAGGGACCACCTCATATATGACCCAGTGCTGCCCAGATCGTGTGTACTCTAACTCATCAGTCTTGACAGCACGTGGGAATCACCTGGGAGTGCTTAATAAAAGAAGATGCCAGGGTTTGGGAAGACGGGAGCCAGAGACTGATTTAATTGGCCATGGGTCAGGCCAAGGCATCATATTTTCTGAAAGCTCCCATGGTGGTTCTAAAACGTGCAGCAGGGCTGAGAAGCACTGATCTGCACAGTAAGTCATTGGACCACGGAAGTAGGAGATCAAACGGGACTTGTAAATTTCAGAATCATAAGAGTTACATGAATTTTGCCAACTAAGCATTTATTAGTCCACTGATTTTTTTTTGTCTTATTTCCCTCCAAAGTCCTGAGATAGTCATAAAAATATTTTTATTGCAATATAACTCACATGCCATAGAACTCATCCTTTTAAAGTGTATAATTTAGGCCCTGGCCAGGTGGCTTCGTTAGTTGAGCATCATCCTGTATATCAAAAGGTTGTGGGTTCAATTGCAGGTCAAGGCACATAGGTTGTGGGTTTGAACCCTGGTCAGGCCATTTTAGTTGGATTATCTATACTTTTATTGCTGAGTTGTAAGAGTTCTTTATATATCCGAGATACTAGACTCTTAATAAATATGTATATGATTTGCAAATATTTTCTCCTAACTCAACAGTTCTTTGGACTGTCTTTTCTCTCTCTCTCTCTCTCTCTCTCTCTCTCTCTCTCTCAAATTAATAAATATATCCTCTGATGAAGATTAAAAATAAATAAAGAATACAATTCAGTGGATCTTAGTATCTCCACGAGG